TATATATAATTAAAAAATCTATTGCTTCAAAAATTATTTTTAACGTCTTGAATGTCCGAAACATTTGAAAAACTAAAAAAATCGAATCTCCAATTCGTAGAATATCGGTTTCTATTAAAATTTTTCCTAATTTCCGAAAAATGACGCATGGGAAATTTTTATATAAAAAAAAGGATGCAGTAGCCTATTACACGTCGAGGTAACCAGGTTGAACCTTGTAAATCACTTTCCCGCGACTCACTATTAGTGAAAAAAAAAAGGAAAAAAAAACTTAATTCGCTCGGGTGTGTATAGCGTTAATTAGAAGTCTAATACGTGCTTCATGCCATAGAAAAAAAAACACACTCCTCTATTTAGAGGATGGCCCACATTTTTTAATGAGTTCATTCATACGCAATAAAAATATCTACAAAATACCGTTAAATGAAATTAATATACTCTCTTAAGGAAGTCCTTCTAAATAGACACCCCTCCTAAAAGAGAATTTATATTCCAAAACTCCCAATAAAACTAAAATAGAAAAAATTAAAATAACAATAAATTCTAAATATTAACGTACAAACATATTTTGTTCCTTTAAATTGATAATAACTTTTCTAGGAATGAATATTATTAAAATTTTTATCCCCTTTTTTTCTTGTACGGAAGTGTACCATATTTTTGTGTATTAAAATAATAATACTTTTTCATCATGTGAATCATATATACATATATATGCAGTGTAAAATTCTTTGAAGCGAAAAAAAATAGTGAAAGAATAATCAACAATTTATATTATAAGTATGTTCATAAAGAAAATATAAATTCTCCCCTCTAATCTTTATATACTAAATCGCATACCGTGGCCTTCAAAAGAAAATCATTTTCAGAGATTAAAATACCGTTAAAATGCATTGAAATATGCAGATATTATGTATAAATATTGCTTTTTATAATTAAGCGTAACACGGTAAGTGTTGTTGAAAAGGCATTCCATGAAATTAGTTTTCATTTAACGTCAGACACACACACACACAATGCTTTATAACATATATTAAATTAATGTTTAATAATTATTTTAAATTGCAACATGGTCATTTTTTAATATACATATCCATCTTCTTACTGAGGATTGTTCTCGAAAATTATTTTCAATTTTTCCATTTTCTTTACTGCTTCGCTTTTAGAGTCAAAATTATGTATAATAACAAACATTTTAAAATAAAGATAAATAAATGTAAGTTAATAAAGAAAATGAGTAAATAAAAATAAGTAAATAAAAAATAAAAATAGTAAATAAAAAATAAGTAAATAAAAATAAAAATAGTAAATAAAAAATAAGTAAATAAAAATAAGTAAGAATAAATAACGATAAATAAAATAATGTAATAACTGGAAGATGCGTTAAAAAACAATTTTAGTGCGGAATTTTCTTATATATTTAAATTCTATTACAAATTATATTCGATAAGTTATCTACTTTTTGAATGGAAGTACCTATAATAAAATTATGAATAAATGTGCAAATTTGCAGCGATGCTTATAAGTTTACGTCATTAACCACACCGGACGAATCAAAATAATTAACTGTGCATAGAATAATTTTCTCTTATTATGTGCCTTGATGAAGACACATCTTCTTTATATCCCAAGTTCAAGCGAAAAAAGAAAATCTCAAAATTTCTCAATGAAAAAGAAAATGATATGCATTTTTTAAAAACAGTATTTTTTATCAATATTTTTTTAACACTATTTTTCTAAATCTCAATCAGCTAAAACTTGTCTACTAATTTAAATTAGTTTTAAAAATTTCCACTATTTCGCAGCAATTATCCGAACCCTAAAACTTTAGTGGAGAAAATTTAAAAATACGAAATAATGTTGTCAAATTTTATTATTTAATAGTTTCTTTTGTTTTTCAAAATAAAATTTTACAACTTGAGTTCGTATTTTTAATTCTTAATTACTAATTTTTTTTACTAATTAAGAACTAATTGTTTTTACTTAGAAGCATTAGAAGTTGTTCGTAATTTTTATACGAGAAGGATGAATTTTTACAAAAATCAAATAACTTTTTGTTGAATTAAATAAATTTTTTTTTAATAGAAGAAACCTTAATTTTCAATCGAAGAAACGAGTCAAAACGCAAATAATTTCTTTGAATAAATGAAAACTTTTTTCTGGATCTAATTAATTAAAATCCACTTATTATTTTTACTTCTAAAAATTAGATGTTCTTATTCATTTTAGTCAGCGAATGAATGTTTTTAATTCTCTGGAGAGACCTGAGAAAAATTAATCCCTTTTTTCAGGGAAAAAAGATTCGTTTAATATTATTTTCAAAATTGCGAATTTTCCACAAATAAATAAACTGAAAATTATTTCATTTCATTGAGAAAATTAAGGAGAATATAAAGTAGGCTACATCGCTTATAAATATTTGTAAAGAAATTTTGCACAACGAATATATATTTTCCTTGATACTTAATTATATTTTACTTATGATATAATATTATTGTATATATTTCAATAAATATTTACTTACGAAATAAACTCGAGAGGAAAAATATTGTTTAACTCACCTGAAAGAAAAAGAAAATACTTCATATTAGAATTATTTTAATAAAAATAAAAACTGAAAACAAAAAGTAATTTCTATAAATGAATTCTATTAAATTACTTTTGTTTTAAAATTTCCTCAATTTTACCATAATATTTGAATTAAATTTCAGTAAAAATTAGTAAAATTTACCACCATGTTTTATATCAAGAAAATGATTTAACTCTTATGTAAAATTGTTTTTATAGTAATTTTTAAAGAGGAAATCAATGGTCAGAAAATAAAATTGTTCATAAAATATTTTGAACCTTTTGGGATTTTCATTTTTCTGAAAAATTGATAGATTTTAAAATCTATCCGTAATTTTGTAGAAAATATTATGTTTTTGTATTCAGAAAAAAATTGTCGAAAGAAAAAAATGATTTTTAATATTTTTTGAAGCACTTTTTTGAAAAAAAATATTGTTTTTAATTTTTTTATGTTGTAATTCACGTAATTAATTTTCTAACTAATTTCAAATCATAATTTTTATAAATAAAAAGTATAAATAATACAAAAAATCGATGATAAAATTAAGTTTTGAAATTATTTAGAAAAATAAACAAGTGAATCGGCATCTTTTTCTGAATACAGAAACATATTTTCTACAAAAAATGGTCAGAATATTTTCTGCCCGATTTTATTTTCTGACCATTTATTTCCTTTGTAAAAATGTAAATGTTAATAAACTTTTTAAGGCGTTTTTCGAAACATTCGATTAAAATTGTATTAAAAATAATTGAAATTTTGCGATGAGTTTTATTATTTTTGAACATAATTAAATTTCGGCGAAGGATTTTATTAATTTAAAAACTTAAAATGTTATATTAATAATATAAATGACAATTTTGATCTTCTGCTAGTCGGCAGCTGTGTGGTTACTTTTTTTTAAAAGCGCTTAAAAAAACAAAAAATTTTCTATCGTCCAGGATGTTGTTCAGCAACATCCCAGCAACAATCTAGGTTGTTAGGTTGTTAGCAGTTTTAGATGCTTTAGAGGATTTTATTAATTTAAAAGCATAAAAAAGGGGAAAGGAAAAAAAAAACCAAATTATGTAAATAAGGGAATTATTACCTTTATTTACCTAATTCACTGTGTTTCCTTACAGAAGTAAAAAAAAGAAAAGTTTTTCAGAAAAGAAAGTGCAGTGCGTTTATAGCATGAAAGTGTGGATTCAACCCCGAGAATGTTTAAAGAGTCAAAGGAATGATATTATATTGAGGATTCATGACTCAAGTGGAAGAAGCACATTATGAATATACATGCATGTATAATGTATAGGAAGGAAGGAAGGAGTAAAAGTTAAAGGGGTGGGGAAATGTTCGCGAATGTGGCTGACGAATGTAGAGTAGAATTTCATTAGTTGAGTATATGGCTGAGTAACGGAGTGATGGTAGAGTAGAGTGGATCGTGTTAAAATTGTGTACCTGTATTGTACGTACACGTGGTACGAAAACTTCAGTCGCATGCTGACCATCCGACGCTTCGGATGCGCTTTCTAAATCACATCGTCAAGGGACACAATTCATTTCCAATATGATCGTATCAATCACCTGACAATTTCCAATTTTCATCTCATTCAAAAAATTCTCATTAAAAAATTTTTCCAAAAAAAAATATAACTATTAGAGAATATTAAAAAAACAAGTAGAATAAAAAACGTTTTCGGAAAAATTAAAAACAATTTAAAAAATTAAAAACAAAAAAAATTAAAAAAATTTTTTTTAAATGCAAAAAAAATTACAATTAAAAAAGAGAAAAAAACAATTAAACAATGAGAAGTAAAATCTATTAATAATTTCAATCAGTCTACTTATTTTACACTTCCAAAATTTTTGTCTGAAGTGACAAAAAAAATAAGTTTCCCCAAAAACAAAAAGGAAGAAAATCGAGACAATTCAAGTGAACGGAAGTCGGAACAATACGGAGGGGATAACCGAGAAAATCAGTGCAAGAAGAAACGAAAGGTGGAAAAATTGCCAGAAAGTAAGGAACAATGTTGAGGGAAGAAAAATTCCTCTACAAGGAAGCAAATCCAATTAATGACAAGCAGCTGAGAGGGAAAACATTTTCCTCGACACGAAAGTGAGAGAGAATAAAAAATTTCGAGTTACAAGGTGGAAAAATATTGCAAAAAGTGGAAGAAGATATAAAAAGGGAGGAAGAAGAGGAAAATAGAGGAAGAAAATAAAAAAGAGGAAAATAGAAAAAGAAAAGTAAAATAGAGAAAAAAAGAGAAAGAAAGTAAAGACGAAGAAAATATAAAACAACAAAATACCAAGAAGAGAAAGAAAAGGAAAAGAAAGACGAGAAAAATTAAGACGAAGAAAATATAAAGCCAAGAAAATACAGAGCAAAGAAAATACAAAGCAGAGAAAATAATAAACAGAAAATACAAAATAGAGAAAATATAAAGCAGAAAAAATAAAGAGCAAAGAAAATAAAAAAGGAGAAAATACAAAGTAGAGAAAATAAAGAGCAAAGAAAATAAAAAAAAAACAGAGAAAATACAAAAAGAAAGAAAATTATAGCCACAAATTATTCAAAGTATTAAGACATAGAATACAAATTGCAAAAAAGCAAAACCAACCTCAAAAAAATGTCATTCTATAAAAGAAAGTAATTTTCTGCAATTAGAATTAGCAAAACTAGAAAAAGAAGCAGCAAAAAAAGTTACTTAATGGCATGAAGTTGCAAAGGATACGGAGAAGGTATATAATTTTTCTCAGGAAGTTATGAGACGTATGTGAGTTTTTTTTCCTTCCTTTTTTTCATCATAATCATCATTATGCAGCGATGACACCAAACATGAAACGAGAGACAAAAAACGAATTGCGATGGGACAATAAACCCAGAATGATAGTGCGTGTTACACGAAACATAAACAATTATCAAAAGTAAATAATCAAGGGGGACTTGGAAATTTTTTCTTCCTCTTTTTCTTCTATAAAACAATATTGATGGAAAATAATCTTCTTGTTCATCGTGTCTGTGGGACGTTATTATCTATTAAAGATCGGGATTCAACTTGTTGAACAATATTTGTTGTTTGTCGTGTTATTTTCTTTTATGGGACGCGATTTAATCGTTACAAGAAAATCAGTTTGGTGGTTTGGTGAACGTTAGGAAAACAAAAACTAAATTAGCGGAAAAATGATTGTTAAAAATAATGGTCTTTGGATGAGGCAGAGGCGACTTGGTATACCGAAAAGGTTTGTTGTGTTTTAAATTATAAATTATAATTAGAAATTAGAAAATAATTTTAATTAACTGTAGAATAATTTCAACCCCCAGAAAAAGGTGTATTTTACTCAGAGCCAACTATACTTTTTACTGGTTTCAATAAAGGTTTTATTTAAACCAAAAAATATTTAAATAAATAAATAAAAATAATGTAGTTGGTTCTGAGACAAATGTATTTTTATTTAAAAAGAGGAAAAGATTTACTTGACTCAAATAAACAATAATTTTTATTTATTTGCCAATTTAATATTTTCGTTTTAAATGCAGAAATTATTGGTTCAAATTGTACAATTTGATTTGATTTAATTTCTTTGCCACAAATAAAAATTCTTTGATTCAAGCAAACATTTATTTGACAAGTATTATTATTATTATTTACTAGACAATTTAATTTGCTTTGAAATTATGCTCTAAATTAGCCAAAGCATATTAAATATTTACTAAAATCTAAAAAAATTATCGCATTTTTTTCTAAAACAATGATAATCCCTCAATTTATAGGAAGTTAGTAATTTAATAGTAAAATTTTCCCTGAACAATTATTTTTAAAAATATGATAAAATCCCAGAATTTACAAAATGTTATAAATTTCAAAAAATTCTCGAAAACGATTTTCTATTGCTAACGGTGATGATCTTTAAATTTTTAATAACAATTAGCTTTAAACAGTTAATTTTATAAAGTAAAATTATTATTTTTTATAATGTTTTCCTGAACAGTACTGAAAATTTACAGTATTAAATAATTCAAATAATTTCCAAAAACGACTAGCAATCGTAAAGAATATTAAGCAGTAAAAATAAAAACACACTAATTTCATAGTAAAATCATTATTATGCAATAATTTTTTCCTGAACTCTTATAAAATTTTTGAAATACAGAAAATTTCGGCAAATTTACAAAGAGTTAAAAATGTGAAAATGTGCCTAAAACGATTTCTTATCGTTGACGATTAAAATAATTGAATCTGTAATAATAACAAACTACTAAATTCATAATAAAATTTTTATCTGCAATTTTTCCCGAACCGATGCGCAAATTTACAATAATGTTAAAATTTTTACTAATTCCCAAAAACGACTGAATCATTAAATGATTAATAATAAGAAGCCACTAATTTTATATAGTGAAACCGTTCTCATGTAATATTTTTTACTGAACAATTCAAAAAAATTTACAAAGACTTAAAAACGTCTAATATTTTTTTTTGTAAACGATTACTTATCGTTATTCGATAATCAAATTACAATCTGATAAAAATAGAAAATCATTAAATCTGTAATAATATAAAGCTACTGCTTTCATAACGAAATTGTTGTTTGCAAATTTTTCCCGAACAGTTCTGTAAATTTACAATATGTTAAATTTTTTATTAATTTCCGAAAACGATTGTCTATATCGTTAACAATAATAAAAGTGTTAAAGACTTAATTTCACAATAAAATTATTATCATGCAATAATTTTTTCCTGAACAATTTATCAAATTTAAAAAAATAATCTAAAATGTAAAATATTTTCCGAAAATGATTTCTCATCGATATTTGAATCGAAATCAAAGAAAAATAAAAAATCATTCAATCTGTAATAATATAAAGCTACTACTTTCGTAATGAAATTTTTATCTTGTTTCCCAAACAGTTTCACTTTACAAAGATTAAAAAATGTCAAATATATTCCAAAAACAATTGCCTATCGTTAATGTCGATAATTTCTTTAAATCTGCAATAATAAAAAGCAACTAAACAATAAAGAGTATTAAACAAGTATTAAAATTTTTAACCAATTTCCGAAAACAATTTCTTATCCTCAACATTATATTCACACTAAAACTTTTCCTTTCGACAATTCCCCATTACCACTGCAATAAATATTCACCCAAGAAGATTTTCTCGTATAATTACCAATAAAATCGATACCAATAAACAACATTACTATGAAATTACTATCGAGAGTTTGTTTTATTTGAAAAAGAGGAATAGGGACTAGGAATAGGAATTGCAAAAAAAGGATGATTATTAGTAAATGGAACAAGGTGTTGAGATGATATAGTGTTATGAGTCAGGGAAAATACATAGTTGATTACAATTCAAGATTTACGATTAGGGTGCTCGTTAATTCGAGCGATAGTTATGTATATGATGGTTATATACACATAGCGAATGAAAGTGGTTAGGGAAAAATTTTACCATAAAACAAACCGCAAACAGATATAGAAGTTTTTGAATTTTTATATTATAATATAAAAGAGGCGCGCAAACTAGGATATATGTGTGGTGGCTGGCAAAACGCCTACAACTATACAGAAAAACCCCTTCAAGACTAAATCCTACATATGTATAGCAAGTTTTATCCCTCGGCTTGTATCACTCAAAGCAATAATCAAGGTGCAGTGGTACTTTGACTTCCATTACTAGAATCACCACATGTCGTAAACACTTCAACGAGCTTCCACCGCTCGGTACTTCTTCCTGTATTCCATATAAGTGTCCCCCCATCCCCCCTCTCTCTCTATCTAAGAACGTCCTTCCTATACATCTTTCAGATGCCGCGGGTCCATCTGTTTTTACTTGTTCATCCGCTTCATCTCTTATTATGTATTTTTCTTTTTCTAAAAAAACACATATAATAAGAGATCAGTGACATTGAATACATTCTTGCTCTCTTGATTATATCTCTCACACATCTCGTTAGAAAACAATGAAAATGTTCGAAAGTACATAAAGGAGCCAGAGAATTTCTCCTATATGTTTGAAACACATTGTTTACACTTTTGTCACAAGAGATAATTATTCGTTTAAAAAAATTTTCTTCTACTTAAAATGTGTATCACAAAAAAAATGTTAGTATCAAGATTTCCGTTTAATGAAATTCTCAATCGACTTTTAATTAAAAATCAAAGACACACCTTCTATGTGTATATATTCTCAATATGGAAATGAGTTGGTGAATTAAAGATGAGGACCTATTATGTCCCAGGGAATGAAAGCGGATCTTAACAATGATAATTCTCTTGGCAAAATACGTATAGTTTCGCGAGTATTATTATAGGAAAGTGAAAAATCTATTTCACGGTCAGTACTTCTTTTTCTATTTTCAAACAAGGCTTTATGAATAGTTTTTAGAGACATAATCTCTCGCACGATCTCTAACAATGCATGCAATCGTTTTAGAGAATGTGACCTGTTGCTTATAAAGACTCTCTACTATGCTTGGGACATGTAGCAGAAGAGAAAAAGGCAAAAGGAAAAAAGGGAAAAAGAAAAAAGTGAAAAAGGGGAAAATAGAAGAAAGGAAAAAAAGAAAAAGGAAAAAATATAAGAAAGGAAAAAGAGAAAAAGAGAAAAAGGGAAAAGAGAGAAAAAGTGAAAGAGAAAAGGAGCAAAAGAGAAAAAATAAGGAAGAAAAAAAAGAGAAGACGAGAGAAAGAGAAAAGAAGCAAACGAGAAGAAGAGAAAAAGAGAAAGGGAACAAACAAGAAGAAGATAAAAACAGAAGAAGAAAAAATATGTACGAGCAAAAGAGAAAGGGAACAAACGAGAAGAAAAGAAAAACAAAAAGGGAAAAAAAGAGAAGAAGAGAAAATATGTATACGAGCAAAAAAGAAGTGAAAAAGAACGAAGAAGAGAGATAGAGAAGAGAAAAATACAAATAGGGACCAAAAGAAAAAAAAAGAGAACAATAGAGAAAGAAAAAGGAAGCAAAATAGAAGAAGAGGAAAGGAATATAGGAGAAGAGAGAAAGAAAAAAAGCAATAGCAGAAAGGAGCAAAAGAAAATAAGAGAAAAGGAGCAAAAAAAAGAAGAGAGAAAAAAGAAGCAAAAAGAGAAAAGGAGCAAAAAGGAGAGAAAGAGGACAGAAATAAAACAAAGAAAAAATGAAGAACAGAAGAAGAGAAAAAGAAAAATGGAACAAAAGAGAAGAAGAGAAAAAAACAAAAGAAGACAAGGAGATAAAAAGTGGAAACGGGAAGAAGAGAAAAGAGTAAAATTTGAAATATAGAAAAAAAGGAAAATAGAAAAAGAAAAAAAATGTTAAACGAGCAAAATATAAGAGAGAAAGAGAAATGGAGCAAAAGGGAACAAGAGAAAAATTGAAGATGAGAAAAAGAGAAAAGAAACAAAAAAGAAGAAAGAAAGAGAAAAAACAGAAGAAGAGAAAGAAAAAAGTAAGTAGCAGAGAAAGAGAACAAAAGAGAAAAAAAGAATAAGAAAAACAAATGAAACGAGAATGGGAAAAGATGTAAAGAGAAAAACAGGAAAATAAATAAACAATTAAAAAGAAGAATATTAGTAAACGAAAATTAGGGAACAATAGAAGATAAGAAGAGAAAAACAAAACAAGAGGAGAAGAGAAAGAAAAAATAGTAAATGAATAGAAGAAAAAAGAGCCAAGAGAAGTAGAGAGAATGCGAAAAGCATAAGAGAGAAAAGGAAAGAAACAAAGGAGAAAAACAGAAAAAGGTAAGAATAGAGAAAAGAGAAGTTAAAAATTAAAAAGGGAAACAGTAGAAAAGAAAGGGAGAAAAATATAAAAAAAGAGAAAGTGACAAGCAAAAGAAGAAAAAATAAAAATTGTCAAAAGAGAAGAAAAAACAGAAAAAGAAAAAAAGAAGCAAAAGAGAAGAGAACAAGAGAGATTAAAAAAAGGAAAAAGAAACAAAAAATAAGAAAAAAGGAGCAAGAAGAAGAGAAAAAGGGAAATGGGAAAAAGAGAAGAAGAGAAAAATATTAAAGAAGCAAAACTGCAAAAGAGAAGAAGAGAGAAAAGAAGAGAAAAATAGAAAAAGTGAAGAAGAGACACAAAAAAATAAAATAAGAGGATAATAGAGAAAGAAAAAAGGTAAGAAATAGACACAGAGATAAGATGACAAACAGAAAAAATATAAGAAGAAGAATAAAAATATAAGAAGAAGTAATAAAAAAAAAGAAGAGTAATGGGGCAAAAAGAAGAGCAAAAAACAGAAAATAC